GAAGAACATGGTTTATTGTCCAACTCGACCGACTAGACGCTTTTCCATGTCTGGCGAACTGTTATACAGTGCGACACCTTTCTAGATACCAGAAATTTCAGATTTCGCCTTTCCCTTTCATTCCCAATTCATCAAAGAAAGAATTGGTCACCCAGGACCAACTACTGGGCAAGGATAAAAGTTGATCTGTAACCAGCTTTCGGCAATTAGATATAGTTAACTGTTACATCATAGCATTGTACTCCGACGTCTCTATAAGTGTTCCTTGACACTTTTCTTGATTGAGCATAACACACTGAGAGTAGGCGTCTACATCTGCATATGGCTAGAAAATTTCCTACCTCCGTCGGATTGTCCCATAATTTCGAATGCACCATACTGATGGAAGTTTATTGATTGAACAAAGCTCTGAGAGTAGGCGTCTACATCTGTATATATAGCTAGAAAACCTATCGGTGTGTACCATAATTTCCGATGTATCATGCCGAAAGGAGTCAATTGATTAAGAAAGAACACTGATTACGGGCGTTTAAATGTATATGTGACCAGTCTGAAAGCTTACCGGCGCCCTGGCCAGGTTGGCCTCCGTCTGATTTTCCAATAATTTCCAGTGCACCATGCCGATGGGAGTCTTAATTCCTTCTCACTCCTTTGTGAATAAAACAATTTCTGGACATACTGGAGAACAGATGATTGCGCAGTTCCAACAATTGTTTTATCAACTACAGTTTAACCACCTTTATCCGAAAAAGGTCCAAAAGCACCAATTGTTTCCCAGACACAAGACAAAGCACCATGAGCTAAAGACTACACTGTTAGTCTCTCTTCCGGATAACCAATGATCACAGGTACTCGATAAGGTCCAGAGGCATATAGTCGTTTCCGGTGCACGTAGTTACTCTAAACGGGACTAAATGCGCCAATAATCATATATAAATTCATATCATCTGCTTGTCGATATTTGAAATAATGCATCTTCGGATGACGAACATCTTTTTCTAATGAATCACCTCAAAGCAATATGTGACTATACCGCTGCATTTCTTTTCAACATTTTTCTTTTATGTACGTTATTCAGTGAATAAGGTGAATTATTTTTATATGAAACTGAAAAAGTGTTCCGTTTATATCCCGTTTCATACATTATCATTCTGTTGCGAAACGTATACAATAGCAATTGGTACAATGGAGCTGCGTCAAACTGTATTCATACCAGCGACCATACATAGACTGAGGGGCAACTGTATTCTTTATGACATTTGAATAAGATGCGAAAGTTGAATGGTAATTTAAGCAGTTTCATTTAAAACTGCATCTTTACAGCTATTGTTGTTTTATTTTCCTTTTTGAATAGTCTCCCCTTTTAGCCTCAGCTCTTCAATGGAGGTAGGAATGTCTCCACGTGAATGGAGTGTCCTCTGACAAACAGTTAAAAGATGTTCTATTCTGAACGAGTAACCCGATCTGCAATGCCTCCGATGTATACATTGTTCATTTAATACTGGTCAAATACATATCACAATAAATGAGGATTCTTCTCATTCATAATTTAAACGGTGAAACCTTTTTCACTATTGTTAACGTTTTAACGTTCGTCGGTTTCACGCCGGTATTGTGAGTCGATGCAAGTCGGTGGTCCCTCGGGCGCCATATCTGTACGCAGTGGCCTGCCGTTTAGTGTCGTAAATAATAGCCCACAATTGTTCATCCCAGTTGGAAAAAGTTCACAGGGATCACAATTCAACTTGAAAATTAGAAAATTATTCACAGCCGAATCAATAGCCAGGATTTTTCATTTAAAAACTGACGTTTAATTACTCATGAAATTCATTTTCACTTTGCCATCTTGGATTTGTTTCCCATTGGACGTAACTTCGTTTTTTTTTTCGAAATCGTTGGTTTGGTATTCCGTCTTGTATCGGTGTTCCGCTGGAAATTAATTCATTTTTATTTCGCAATCGTCGGTTTTCACATACGTTTTTCGTCGAGAAATCTTGGATAAATGGTGTCCCGTTGGATATAATATTCAGTTATTGCATCTAATTAGTATTTGTCTGGAAGTGCTCATTGAAAGTTGTAATGGATCCCTCGACAAGCAGGATCCAAAGCAAATGGCTGTGTACCCTGTGTGGCTTTTCCCGCCTCGATGAGTCCAATTCAGAAGCAGCAAAGTGTACAGAAGTACAAATTAAAAGTTTTAGTGGATCCATCGAAAATTGGGAATCCAAAGTAAAGAAGAAAGTTTATGTCATTGCCCATGCATACTGCATAGCTTTTTCCGCCTCAATGAGCCATATCGGGAGCAGTAAAATGAGACGTAAAACCCCACGTAGAGTCGTGTTCTAATTATCCTAAGACGATATTAGAAAATCATCAAATATAAACCTTCAGGTTTTAAAAGACATGAAAATACAAGTATCTTTTTCCACAGTTGCTACAAAATGCATTTAAATTCTTGATTAAAGTTTATTCTGAACACTGACGAGCTTTTTGTCCAGTATTTCAAAGATATTGAACTCAACTAGGACAACATGTCTTGAATAGCCATCTTTTTAACTCGACTAACAACAACTCTATAAAGATCATTTAAATTTTTATGACTTCGCGATTGAAGAAGCTTTTGCCATCTTTTTGCCTTCTTTTGTGTGAGCTCTGAATTCATTTAGTCGCAGATGAAAGGGCGAAGAAGAAAAACTTTCAGTCCCGAATTGATTGATGTACGACGATGTTGAATGCAGCAAAATAGAAGTAATTTTACATCCTTTCAGACAATTGGAGACGAATAAAAAGTGGTCGTGTCTGTGGATGGACGTCCTTCTTCCACAATGTCGTTCGTCTTATAGCTTGACTGCAATAATTACTTCTCTTTCTCTGTCGGTTTCCTTGTTGTGATTTGAATTTTCTATACTTAAATCGGAGTCCTCTTTCGCATTTGAATATGCACATTGGATTTTCTCTTTTCAATTGTTGGACTAAGCATACAAAATTGATTCGCCCCTTTTTACTTGTATAAGTACATGTATATACAATTATACAAGATTACAGAACGATATTTCAAAAATACAAAACGAGACTTCATAAATATTCAAAATAAATTTCAAATAGTAAGCATATATCACTATGAATAGCTACACGTTTTAGGTTATGCATAAAGGACATCAAACATCATTTTGCATAGTATATACAAACAATTATACAAGATTACAGAACGATATTTCAAAAATACAAAACGGGACTTCATAAATAAGGTATTCAAAACAGATTCAAATAGTATATTATACTGAATAGCTGTACAATTTATAAACTTCAATACAGAACATTAAATGCATGAACTTGGAGGTACCATGAATGGAAAGCTAATACGTCGGCATTGACACTGCTGTTATAAAGGTTTTGTATAGACTCCATAAAGGATTGAAACAATTTGAGAAGGGGCCGATTTCAATATACCACGGTAATGTGAGATGAGAGCTATTCAAATCGTAATAATAACTATTGAAATTACTATAGAAAAGAGAATAATAACAATTCAAGGCAGACTTCATAAAAGCACATTATGTTTTATACGAGTTGATATTTACGACTACCCTTAATAGGTCTTTTGGTTTTTTAAATCTTGTTTATCAAGTCTCACGCTACGTTAGGAAATGAATGTCTAGCACACTCTGGTAAGGTGTTTGGGTACACCCCAGTTGCTCTAATTTGATGCGCTCTTTACCACAACTCGATGTTCAGTCCTCTATTATGACTTCAGACTCGATACATATTAAAATGTAAGTATAAGATGAAGACATCAGGTTTTCGGCAAGGAAAATGAATGATACTCAAAGAAATGAATATCTCATTAGGTAATCATCTTTGTGGCTCAAATTAGAGTTCTTTACAACATCCCGGTGTTCAATCTTTACCATGGTTTTAGACTCCGATACTGTATACATATTATAATATTTAAGATAAGAATGTGGACTCTCTAAAAGGGATCAAGTTTTGTGCATTGTAAAATGAAAGATACGCAAGGAAATGAATTGTCTAGTTACACTCCTAAGGTGTTCGGGTACACGTCTGTTGCTCTAATTTGTACTTAACCACTCCTCGGGGTAAATTTAATATGATTAGTCCCTTAGCATAGGTTCAGTCTCGATGCATAATCAAAATATTAGTTTATATCAGATATATATCCATGAAGGTGTATTGAGTACATCCCCTTTATAATTTCATTTGTCACCTATCACAGCTTCCGCATCATAAATAATCAAATTAACAGCGTCAGCTATGTGGACTCTGACTTTCTGATCATTAAAATATTAATCAGAGCAGATTTCAACAAATTGTGGTGTGTTTTTGTTTACTTCTGCGTTATCCACCCATCTGGTTGATCTCGAAATCTTTTGTTTTAACCATTGTATAGTAGACAATAAGATATGAACAGTAAGAACTATAGAACCATTGTCTAGACAACATTACCAAACCGTTTAATCTTAATAATTTATTTTCATATATTGCATGGCTTTAATCACTCAGCTTATCTCTAAGAACTAGATGGTTCGGTAAGCTCTAGTCTGGTATGCTTTCGTCCCATTCTGACCACAGAAAAATGCTGTAGTAGCAAGTACAATCTGCTAACTAGTTGGACAGTCTAGTTTGGTGTTCCCAGCTTGTCCTAGACCAAAACGTTTGATTCCATACATGGTCTCACTTCACTAACTCGGTTTCCGGTCAATCATAGTCTTCAAAGGATCATCTCTACCAATTTCAGGATTAGATCACATTGTTGAAAGGAAGTTTTCAGAGGAGGGTTTTAAACGAATAATATAAGGGACAAAAAATACACCTACCTTGACTTTGGCAGTACAGCCAGACATAATCCCTAAAATCCCACAAATCCGTCACTGAAGCACATGTAATCCAAAGGAGCTAATCCAAAACGACGTTACCAGTTTCAAGTTATTCCAAACACGAGGCTACAGTGATCTACAGTTCCAAACTTCCCCAAAAGGTAATCACGCTTTCTTGTAATATGCATGGTACCAAATATGGAATTTTGGTTCGTCTTCAATAGTGGAGATATGTTCTCTGCTGCTGTCGATCTGTAAAGATAATGAAACTTAAATGAAATGGAGTTTTACATCCTACTGTTCTAAGCTTCACAATGTGTCTATCTTATGACTGAATGCTACATGTTTAATTTTAAGTCTGGTTTAGTTGTTTAATGCACGTGAGTTGGTATATGTTGAGGAAGAGTTTATCAGATTAATTTTAGGCTGAACCATGATAAGTTAAAATTTATGTCAGAAATTCAGATTATTTTCAGACTAGACAGTGAATAAAGGTGTCTCAGACTGTAAGATTAGTCAGAGTTTTTCGGACTATTTTTAGTTGGAATAGCGAGTTTCTGAATACACGTGGAATTGAATAGAAATACAGAAAAATCAGTTGAAGACAGAAGAATAGATTCTAATCGTCGGTTTCTCATTTACTTTCCTTTCAAGTTGAATTTTCCTTTTTTTCATCCCTCCTTATATAGAGACTAATTTGTGACCAACCAATTGATCGCAGTTATTGCCAGTAATCGGTCATTTCACCCTCAAAAGACGCATTAATAACAGTGGTGTTTCAAAGAAGGCAGAGGGGGTGGGGGTGTCTCCTGAAAATAGCCTGACCTAGGTTTGCCCCACCCTACTATTTTCAAATTGAGTTCTTAAATTCCTGATACTGAGTTCGCTTGACAATTCTGTGGCGCACACTCATCTCCTTGACAAGTTATATGGCGCACTCTCACCCGTTGACAAATCTGTGGCGCATTCGTCATATAGTATAAATAATATTCAAATATAAAGCAAGTAACAGGTATAATACAATATATATAACTTCAAGTCTTCCACTGTCCAACCTAATTGGTTTCGTTATCCACCCAACGCCCCCCAAACCCCCAAATCCCACCCCCCCAAAAACCCTCACCCCCCACAACCCTCACCCACCCCTCTCTCAATTCGACATAATTTAAACGAATTAAAATTCAAATATAAAGCAAGTAGTAGCTGTAATATATAATACTCCAAGACATATATTGTTCAACACAAGCTGTTTTTTTTTTCACCCCAAGTCGACAACCCCCCGCCCCCCTCTTCTCTTAACTCCAAGACCCCTCTCTCAACACAAAAGTACAATAGAAATAATATTCAAATATAAAGCAAGTAACAGGTATAATACAATATATATAACTTCAAGCCTTCTATTGTTCAACACAAGCTGGTTTTGTTCTCCGATTCAAAAGAGCTGACTAAATGCCATAGAAATATCGTGCTCTTTACCACAATAGCATACACTCTGTTCCTACGTTTTAATACACTTCGTTCTTTGTACGGAGAATAAAGGAAACTTTTGAAAACAAATGAATCGAAACAAAAGTTGTATGTATTGAATTGCCTGATCGAATTGCGAAAGAAAAGTCGATTTTGTAGTGGCAGCCATCATATAATATTTGTATGTAACATTTTCTCTTATGTTTTCTCCATTCATATGCCTCATTGCTTTTCCAATTAGACGACTGTTGTTTTACAGCGCGGGGTAAGGTCTACTGAAACCGAAATTTAACATTGATTTCTAAAGTATTTGCAGTCTCAACAAAAAATGAAATGGTCAATGACACCACAGCCATCAAAACCACCCACCACCCAAAGAACACCTTCGACCACATGGTCCCTTCTTCGACAACCAGCTCCCAAAGAACCCCTTCGACCATCAGCTCCCAAAGAACACCTTCGACCATCAGCTCCCAAAGAACTCATTCGACCATCAGCTCCCAAAGAACTCCTTCGACCATCAGCTCCCAAAGAACACCTTCGACCATCAGCTCCCAAAGAACTCCTTCGACCATCAGCTTTCATATCATAAGAGTTTAGTGGAATTTTAGTGGTATTGTAAGAATCACATACGTTAGACTGAGCAAAGGAATGGTGAACATCGATACTATCAGTGTTCCCCTATACACATAAAAAGTTTAGGAAACCTTTAAGCAATCTCTTTAAGAAAAAACGCTCTGGCATGAAAGACTTTGGATATGAATAGGAAAGGTAAATGGAATCTACAATAGTTCTATTGTTTACTTTCTTTGGGATCAAACAGCCGAACGAGACGCTGTATTATTGTCTGAAAAATTATCGTGAAAACTTCAATTGTTTGAAAATCAACAATAAATAAATAAAAATATCGATTACAACTTATATTTTTTCAGAAATCCCCAGTTATGTCAAAATCTTACGGATGGTTGGACCGCTAAAAAAGTTCTGAAATTTAAAGTGAATCTTTTGCTTGTTCCTCTAGTTTTGTTAACCTTCATTTCTTAAACTTGCTGTCCTGATGAGGAATTTATAACCGAAACATGTGTCAGCAGTATGAAATAAGCTACAGCTCAAGTCGGCTATGTGTTGTGCGTCAGTCGAGTTTCTAATGAATCCTACAAGTGGTACGGTACTAAGATTCGGGTATCACCAGTTAGACAGGGCTTCCTAACAATGAAACACTTGATGACACTCCTGTTATAATAAATGCCATTCCACGCTAGTAACACATTCCACGGTACTAATATTAGCTGAGCTTTTAATTATCACAAGAATCATAATTGAGGGGGGTGAGGGATATTTTACAATGTATCAGTATCAATATCTATCTAAAACACCTACTGTCCCTCTGTCATTCTGAACAGTAACTCTCAGTTTTGACAGCTAACATTCTCATCAGCAACTTACCCTTTCTTTAAGATCAACAGTAATAGTGACGTTTCAAGATGATTATTTCTCGTCACCAAGATTTTCATTCCTGCTAAATCCAGTCCAAAAAACCTTAAAAAATGGCAATCCAATTGGAAGCAGTAGTGATACGCAGCCAATACGGTGTATCAGTAAGTATACACCGTCGCAGTTTCGAATCCAAGTCTGCTAAATCCACAAATTTCCATGATACAGTTCACAGAATACACTGTCTTTGTTTCGAACCCATGACACCATTATCCAAAGCAGGGTTTGAGCCATATAGAAAGTCCCGTTAACCGAACACTATCCTAGTCTCGAACCCACAGCAGCTAAATCCACAATTATCCACGAGGCATATTGAAAACACGTCCTACTTGACTGAAATAAGAAGACACTGTCTAAGTTTCGAACTCACGTCACCAAAATCCATATATATAGTACAGATAAGCGTAATCTGTCCCAGTTTCGAACTCACATCAGCTAAATCCATAATTATCCACGATACACATAGAAAACACGTCCTACTCGACTGCAAGCCAACTATCAACTAAACGAATAACGAATGAAGTATATGAAATGTAATATGAAGGATTGACAAGGCTGCTTCATATAGAATTAGAAGAAATCTGAACAAATTGTGGAGAAGGAGAAGAATAGGAATAAAAGGGGACGGTATGAACCATTGTATATATGATGAACATAAAACCTTTTAATTCATAAAGAGCAATGCTATCATTTCTCTTGCTTGAATCGGAAATCAAGACGGTACAGGTCATTTCCAGCCAATTATCTTCGTTTTGTGTAAAAGAAAAACGTAACGTCTGGCTATTCTGAATCTTATTTAGTAATCAAATTAGCTCTATTTTTCTGCACCGTCTTAGGCTGAAATCATTAAATTGAATGCAATTTTACATTCTACTATTCTGTTGCAATTAAATCGGTTACGGGCCGAGCTCGGGTCACAGAATTGGGGCAATTTCTTGAAGAACCGAGTTCCACAGTAGAGCTCGTAAGAGTGCTTTTCCACATACAAAGTCAAACAATACTATAAGACAATACGTTTCAAAGACGAAAGCTAAACAATCTGGTACCCACTGATGTACATCACAGCCGGAAAGACTTGGTCTTCTAACCAGAAGTTTCCGGGTTAAATCGCAGTTCTTGAACAGTTTAATAAATGATTCAATTCTCGGTGATACAACATTTCTGCTGTCTGATAGTAACAGAGACTGCTGGATGCTCCAACTCGGAAAGCCCAGCACCACAAGAACGCCTGTACCATCTTATAACCGACCACGGCTGAAAGGGATTGTAAAAGGTTTTCCAGACTGGACTTTTCTGACTTTCGGACACACCGAAAGCATCCATTTGAACCACTAAATTTTCTCTTGGAAAATAATCGTTCCATAACCTTTGATCGCTAAGGCCCTTAGATATTATTCGAGAACCTGAAGCAGAAGAGGTTTCAAGACAACACCTCCATTTTAAATTTCGGGTAACCTCATACTTCCCTTTACTCTTTACCTCTGTAAAGTTCACCCATACCGGCCTGTAAGCCATGTAGAGCAATCTAGAAATAAGTACGTTAATAAGGTGTAGATAGAGAGAGTATTGTCAATAGGTGAATAGCCAACTTGAATAAAGTCATTTTAACAAGGGTTGGTTTATTCATCGGCTATTCAAATCCTTAACAATACATTGTGTATCTCTTAATACGGGTATTATAGAGGCTTTTAATGAACGCTTGTGGCCACCTAACGTTACAAAATTCACCGTTTTGTTGGCAACTATTCGTGGCATATTTATGAAATTTCAAGGTATTTTACGCCACTGATTTGGCTACAAAACGCTTGTGTCCATAAAACGTTACAACTAGGGTTGCTTCTTAAGATGGGTATTATAGAGGCTTTTAATGAACGCTTGTGTTTACCTAACGTTACAAAATTCACCCTTGTAGCGTATTTCCGAGCTTCAAGGTATTTACGCAACTGTTAGCCAGTATCCATCCACCTTTCTGAAGTTGGTGGTATGGGCGGGCAGGCTGGCATTGGACCGTCGAATCCACCTCCACATGGCCTTCAAACCATAACACCTAATCATGGGTTTCCCAATTATAACGATAATACTCTATTAGACGACTCTTTTTTATCCTAACCAAACGGTCGATCGTTTCTATCCACGTTTTATCGCCGATTTTGTATAAACCGTTGAATCAAGTCCGCACTTTATTCTCCTAAATAGAACCCTCCATTCATGCCTTTGAAACAAGTCCGTACATTATTTGCGTAAATAGAACCCTCATTTAGAATCTTTTGAAGCCTTATCACCGTCCTTCAAAGAAGTTGTCACGTACGATTGTATGAAATATTGTGCACTGTACATCAATTTAGTCAATACTTTCTTAGAACTCGAACTCTATACGTTGCCATTTTTTCCAATTACAGGGAATTATTCAACGATTCTTGTCATATGCGCGCAATAAATTGTAGTACATCACGCAGCAACATGCAGTGTACAATAAGGTCAATTTTACCAAAACAGAAGGAATAGCATACTCATACAGTCAAACTTGTAACAACGGTCGATTGTGTTCAGCACCATCCTTCAACGAACACACACCGTGTTCCCAATTGACATCGCAGACATGAAAATTCAGTTCCTTCCAGTTCAATTGGAAATATGGCGTCACCGAAGGCAGAGAGGATGCAATCCCTTTTTCGGGGGCAAAATGATTAACTATTTTTCAACAAATATAATCACGCATATCTATTTTTCTAGATTGTACTTCGTCAGAGATTGAAAATAACTTCACTAAAGACCGAGGTAGCACTTTTCCTGACTCCGAAGCCAACACGAGTGAAGCATTGATAGATGAATCGAATGCAACCTATAATAAAAAGCGTATTGTATTAGAAATGGTTGCGATTCATTGGGATTTGAAAAGAAGGGAAATAGATTTCAATCGAAAGGATAAAGCAAGTGTCCCGGTATCTATGAATCTCTGAATGCCAATATGGCGTCCTATTGTGGTACCATAGTTCCATACGATGCTGGAATTTGAATGGAATTGAATAGAAATGTCATGTGAATGGGGAGATTCCTTTATGGAAAATGGAAGTCGCATTGGTAGCATTCTAGCAATTAATATTGTTTTTTTCAGTGAGTTTCATTCAGTTTGAATATAGTCTCTCAAGTAATAAGTAAAGCTATCAATTGGGAATTGTACGTCCTGTATTTGGTGGAGGGGAAGGGGGGTTTTTAGGGGCGTTTTTCATGATAGTAAATTACCATTATTTCAACCCCATTTGGTAAAAAAGGCTGCAAATGTGCCGAACAAGAAATTACTTCTCAGGAAGTGTCCCGTTCTGACCATAGACAACTACCATTGAGTCCAGCTAGGTAGTGCATGATAACGTAGTTTCCTATGGATAACGTATGACCCACTGACCCGATCCGTTCATAGAACAACCATTCCACCAGGCTAGCTATTTTAGACACAAATTGTCTATGGTTTCAACGCATACAGACAGGCGATCGTCTTAACACCTTGACTTTCGTTCGAAGATTAGCTCGTCTGCGAGTTAAATTTCTGAAAAACGTTCGACATTCGCGATCCGACTTACGGCATTGATACCATAAATAACTTAAAGTACTTTTCCATTTATTTATTTCAACAAGTTTTAAATGTCAATAGACGAGCTCAGCAGTCGAACAATACCTCTTTTACTTCTCCAACAGTCATTAAGGCTTCTATACAATTCAATTCAATTCTACTTTCGATTTCCTTTTCAAGAAAATCAAAATATGAAAAATTATTGACAGACGTTTGAATGGAGAAAATAAGACTCCATAATCAAAATGATAGACATGTATATCACGACGGTTTTGGTATGGAAACGTTAAAGAAAAGTCGTCCTAATGTTCGCGGCTAAAAAGGTGTGTGTTTTTTCTGGTTTCTTTTGATAAAAACGTTGAAGATCGACCAAGGGAGAGAATAAGTGTGAAAGAACAATAGGGCAAGAACAATGGTTAATTCTAAAAGATTGTAAGAACTCAATGGCGGTAATTAGAAAATCTATGTCTTCTTATTTCTGAGTTTATTATGAATTGTCAATATACCATATTAGATTGACGAATAGGTTCGCTAATCAATGTCCCAATAGGAACTTTAGTAATGAAATGGAGTTTTACGCCTTACGTTACATTGCTTGCATTGGGATACATCCAGATACAAGGGCATACAAAAAGGTAATATCTAATAAATAGCATGCGTACCTAGAAATGGTTGGCCAATCAATGTCTCAAATAGGACTTTATTAATGAAATGGAGTTTTACGCCTTACGTTACGTTGCTTGAATGTGGCCGCAGTGGCCCAGTGAGTTAGACGTGGCTCGCAAACCTACAGGTCGAGATAATACTTCGGATTTTTCAACCCGGTTTCCCCTTGTCAATGATGCAGGTAAGAGGGACTGACATGGAAAAAACGTTTATTTGTTCGGATGGGACAATAACCCAAGGCCAAGTGTGCTACAGGCTGTGCACGTTAAAAAGATCCCTCGACAGTTGGAAATCGAAAAAGAGCAGGCTTATGCCACTGTCTTGGCAAAATGTCCCTCATTGCACCCTGCATGGCGTTGTCCGTCTCCATTAGCCCACATGGTGATATCTGAAATCGAGTTCTATCAGTTGTCGATGCAAATATTTAGACAATTATACAGATAGCTGAAATTGAGCTCTTTAAGCTGATAAAGCAAGCATTTAGACAACTATACAGATAGCTGAAATTGTGCTCTATAAGCTGATAAAGCAAGCATTTAGACAACTATACAGATAGCTGAAATTGAGCTCTATAAGCTGATAAAGCAAGCATTAAGACAATTATACAGATAGCTCTATCAATTGGAAAAGCAAAAAAATTAGACAACTATATATTTCTAAAGTATACATTATTGTCAAACTGCAAGGTAAAAAAGATGAAACATGACATTTGCAAAATGATTAGCTAACTTTTTAAAATTTCACTTCCTACAGATTATGATTGGCAAAAACCGATGATTAAACGCGAGGCCGATACAGAATCTTCATAACTGTCTTGCGAACACGTAAATATGACAAAATTTTTCTGACACGAAGTCTTAGGTCATATCTCGAGACGAACGGATTTAGAAAGGCGACAAGAAATTGTGGTCATTTTTTAGATTCAGTTACTAAATTTGAACAAGTTTAAAATATATTTTATTTATTGTGTACAATGACCCAGGATGACCAAATTTTGACTTTAATAATAAATGACCTGCCAAAAGATAAATTTAAATTTTAAACCCTCCCCTTATATTGTTTTAAAGAATTTGGCGGTTTGGTATTGGGTAGACCTAGTTTACGTTGAGGAGGGGCGGTATGACAAGGGGCAAAATAGCACAGGGCGATATGGGAAAAGTAGGGGTTAAACGGTGAATGATTTAGGGGCGAATTGGGAAGGACGAAATGGG